TTTAAGGTCAAACTTCTAAGCTGCCATCTGGAGCTCATTTAACAATTGCCAAGAACATCTGCCACCAACACACGTGCTTAAGCCAGAACTTAGACAACATTACCTTTTTCTTTTAAGGACAGAGACTTAGAGTCACGTGAGCATCACCTGAGATGCTTTGCGGTTGGTCATCAGAACTCAGTGCAAATTTAGTGCAGTTCAGCAACTAGTGAGGTTGTTATTAGATAAAAACAGTTTGTAAAAACAAATTAACAGTGTTCATAGTCTAAAACCACTGTTTCAGGAGTAACAGTATCATTAACATCTTTGGAAGACACATCAAAATTAAGGAATGGGGGGGGGGAGGGGGCTTTGGCATATGGTTTTTCTGATGAGGATGACTGGAATGCAAACTTCCATTACTGCTATTGCGGCTGCTCCTTTGCTGTAGCTGCAAAGAAGGCTTCAGCTCTCAGATAGCTGAAGGCAATGTTTTTCAAAAGTGCTGTAAGTGAAATATGAATGTAGACATTTAAGAGATAAAGAAAACCTGTCCTCAGAGGTAGGTATAATATTCTCTGAGTTTTTATGACTAACATGAAAGATATAAAAATCAGAGAAACACATGGCTTACAAGATCTCATTCCTCAGAAAAAGCTCCATATATTTATTCATAACGTAAGACATAGCAAATCCCATTAGCAGTTAATTCCTTACACTGAGGAAGTCATTTAGAGTTTTAGAAATACTTTAAGGTTGCTACTCTTTACTCACACACACACACAATCCTAATAGCAAGAAGTAGATTTTGTGAGAATACCTTTATCACTAAATACAGGATAAACGTCTTCTGTTCATGTCCTGCAAGGAAATCACCCCCTCCAAATGATGGACGTGACATATACAATATCTGCTAGGATATTATGAAAATTTTAACCAGGAGGAAACGTTTTACATGATTGCATCACTAATATCATGATTTGATCAGACAGGAGAGATGCTTTCAGACATGCTTAGTGTGTCAAATTTCTGTAGTTTGGTAAATGTCGAGCACTGGATTATTATCCATAGGCAGCAAAATAATGCAATATGTTATGTATTTAGTGATTCGTTTAAGCTACTCAATAACCAATGTGTGCAATTCAAGATAATTCACATGTATATTAATAGGTATAATAAATAATTTGATCCCATTTACAGAATACTGAATCTGTACTTTAATAGTATCTAAAAAGCAGAGAAAATTGAAATGATTACTTTCTTTCAATTGACAAGCTGTGAATGTGACTGAAATCCCCACACTGATCGCAGATCAATTTACTCTTGAAACTGAGAAACACAAGTTATGCTCCATGTCTTGTTCTTTATAAAGTTTTTAAACCACAATACCTTTTGTATTTTAACAGACAGTGGAATTTAATCCTTGTCAAAAGGATGGGAGTTATATAGGAGCAGTGGTGTGAGGATGCATGAAGAGTATTGTGTTTTGTTTTTCTTTATAACTAAACATACATATTCATATCAACATATCATCAATTTGTTTTGTTGTTCTTTTTTTAAGAACCTTTGTGCCTGTATGAAAATGAAAAGAAAAGTTGTTGCAACCAAATCTCCAACAAAGCAACTTTGTTTGCTTTCCAAAATTCAGAGCATCGTTAACAATTCCACTAATTGATAGACATTGAGTATAATCTCTAATACGTCTTATCTTTCCAGTTCTATCCAAAAACATTAACTAGAAGAGAAATCTACCATTACTTTGAATATGTTTTCACATTTTTTTCTTGAAGTCTAGAAATTGTTTATTTTCAGTAGGATCTAATATTTTCTTCACTTTTGAAATGCCTCTAGTCTAAAAAGTCTGCTCATGGCTGAAACAGAATTAATAAGCAGGCTGGCTATCATGAAAACACCTCCTCACCTGAACCAAATTAATATGGACTGTCACTGAATCCACAGTCTGCTGAATCTTGCTGGAATAACTTTTCTACATTGTGAAAATTTTAAAAGACCCTCTACACTTGAGAATGAATTGATAGGGGAAAAAGTGGTAGGTCTTCACAGAATACCTGAAGATGTAAAGCAAAATGGCTTCAAGACTTTAATTACAGAAAAAGAACAGTGCGTGTTGAGATTTATGGCAAATTAAATTTATAAGTTAAAAAGCCTAGAAGTTAAAGTTGACAAGCCAAGTTTACAGGATTTTGTTCAACAACTTGCATACTTTGAAATAGAAAAAAATGTTTTATGTTTGGCATAGAGCAAGAGAAAAATATGTCTGAGGAAAAGCCTGTGGAGGAGTTGTATGTAAGAATTCAGTTACATTTTTTTAAACACTTTTTTTTTTCTGAGTTATTTTAATTATTATTTTTTATTTTGCAAGTAATGCCATAATTTTCACAAAGCTATAGGAATGAACAAAGTTATGCCTAGCTCATTTGTCTGTAGCCAGTAGGCCTGTGTTTGCTGCCCACGTCTGCTAAACTTGTATCGTTGAAGATACGTAAAAAATAGTCAGTTTAGTGTATTAATGCATTCCTAATATCAGCCAACATCACCAGTTTCTGTGCAATACCTTCTTTGTCCCCCTGCAAAATAAAGATGATAGTACTGCTTACATTTACTTTATCTCAGTGCAATATTGTGCTCCTTAATCATGTCCTGCCATGCAAGTACACTTAACCTTTGGAAGTCCTTGAGGAAAAGAAAAAGGCAAAGGAAAAGCTAGATAATGTGAGATCAAATTATATTGGAGGAAGGGGGAACTTTAAACCTGGGGCAAACTAGGATTGGTTGGATGTTTTTGAAGGAAAAACATCATGTGGCCAATATTTTCCCTTCACTTTTATAGAAGATATTTATAGTTTTTAATAACTGCAAAGACTCATACTCAGCATCTAATGCTGCATGCTCTGTCGTGGCTGTAATGCTGACAATGCCATAAAATCAGCATTACAGTACCTCAATAGGAACACATCGTTGTATGCTATACGGAACGTGGCCCCCTCCTCTGCCACCTCCCCACACCCTGCGGGTCTTCCTGGGCTTCCTGGCAGCCATTTCGTGCTTTTCAGCAAGTGACAAAAACACCTTCCTTTTTCATTTCACCTCTTTCCAGCCCACATACAGCTTCTGCTGTCATCAAAGGTGAACAGACCTTTGGAGAAGGATGATGCAAATCGGGAAGGGGATGGTCAGCCCATCTGACTGACAGCTGCTAAGATTTTGAATATTCCTATGCATCACTAGGAAGAGGATCCTGGGAAGATAGCCCAGTTTCCAAATGAGTTTCAGCTGAGCAGGGAAAAGAGGGAGTGGAAAAGAAAAGCATGGAAAAGAGACCATGGAGTAAGAGCAAAGAAGGAGAACTTAGAAGGAAATCGGAGATTGCAAGAAATGGAGGGAAAATGGAAAATAAATAGACTAAAAAGTAGGCTAAAGTGTCTACAAAAAGGAGGGAGGAGAGAAGGAAGGGAAAGGAAAAGGAGGTACTCAAAGTTGGTTTGAAGTTAGCTGACACTGTCAAAAAATGTGTAGCATCAGGAATTTCCCAGAACTCCCCAACTCTACAAAAAGGAGAAGATAGGCAGTGGCTGAAAGAGCTGGTCTCAGTTTAATTAAATGTTTATTTAAGTCTAACTTATTTGAAAATTATAATTATAATTATAATATAATTATAAATTATAATTCCCCTAGCAATGCCCTTAACCAAGCCCCTCACAAAGATATTTGAAAAGCAGAAAACTCACAAAAAAATCCCAGTTGGCAACTCTTTTTTCCTGAAAAAGAAGTTTACCAAAATCTTCAAAGGCAAGGATCTGGCATAATTTTCTCTTGAGTAAAGTTAACTCTGCAAGTTAAAGCCCTTCCAGGCAGAACAGCGTACTCCAGCTATATGCAAGCTTGGCCCCAGACCTATGAGCAGGAGTGACTGATGGTGCTGCTCATCAGGCTGCAGGGAGGACCAGTCCAGTTCTTTTGTATAACCCATCCCTGCTCATGGACCACTAAGTTTCCAGCTGTGGTACTACAGGATGCAATCTGCAAGCAGAGGATATCCCCACAACAAGAACAAAATACATGAGTTTACACAGTTTCATTCTGCAAAGGCTCCCAATGCTCTTCAATGTCAGTGGAGATGCACAAGCAGATAAAACACAACATGCAGTAAATGTATACCTGAGCAGTGTTGTCATTCAAAGATTACATAGCCAAGGAAGGCTTAGCTGATCATTTCTTGAACAAAGCTCCTGCTCATGATCATCAGTGGTAAAAAATGTGTAGAATAACTAATTGCCCAAGATCCAAAATGGACAGAAAAAATCTGCATATGTCTGATACTGGGAAACCATGGACCTGATGTTCTCTAAATATGTCCTCGATGGGACACTGTTATATTAAGCTCACATGGCCTTTGTAATTCTGGCATTGGAACAGACAGAATAGAAGGTCAACAGAAAAATAAAAAAGAAGACAACAAGAATGATGCAAAAATGTATTTGAAGTCATGTCTTTAGCAAATATAGAGTGGGGCTGGCTAGAAGTATTTAGAAGGAACCATTTCTCAAACAGAAGAATCAGTTCATTAAAAAAAAACTCTCAACAATAGCATATCTACAGTTTCAAAACGGAAAGAATTTCTGGTCGGAGTACATGTAGAATCAATTATCCACTGGCTATAGCCCCTGCTGGCAGGAGGAACTGAAAGTCTTAATACCTTAATTCTCATCAATTCAACTCAGAGAGGAATGTTCAAACTACTGGGCTATGGTGTGCGGCATTTTGAGGAGAACATTTAGAGTTGGACAGCACCTTACTTCAGCTCCTATGCTTTATCCTCCTTTCTTGTTCCCCAACCCACCCAAAAAAAGCTTGGTAGTTACAGCACTTTTCTGAGATGTGCACGGCAATCTAAACAAGGATGTCTCCCATGCCACTGAGAGATACCAAAGACCTGAAGCATCACTCTCAGCAAAACCTCTTGGCTAGAAGATTCACATTCTATCACTGTGGTCATTAGCAGCTGAGTTCATAAGAGGAAGTTGAGTTTTCCATTTCTGAAGAAAAAACAAATGACTTGCATCTGAGTCCAGGACCTAGGCAGACACAAATAAACAAAGTATAATTTTTTAATATCAGTTTAATTGCACATTTCTTTTAAACTATAAGACCACCTGGATGCAGTCATAGCAATAACAACAACAAATCAATGTTTGTGAGGAAATGCAGTTAAGTATAATACACTAATAATACACTGACTTAGAAGTAGCTGTAAAATTCTTTGTTTCCCTTTACAAGCAGAGTGTTATGAATGGCAAGAACCAACAAGTGTCTAATATTATTCTTCCCCAGATGAAATGAAAAGATATTGATTCCTACCAAATAGATTCCCTAATATGTAAACTCATTATTCTAAGGCTTAGAAGAATCATATACTTTTATTTCTGTACTGAAGACATTCAAAATAAATGTTTTATGAAAATAAAGTGTTGTGTATGCTTCTTGAAAAACCTACCAATATATAAGTCACCTTTTCACACAGTGGATATATATATATTCCTAATTTTGCCTAATATTTGAAGAATGAGCATCTCTAAACATTAAATGGTGCAAGGTTACACCAGTAAGATAACATCATGTGCTGTTGTGAGGTTGCATTTCAAAAGCAGATCTCCTTGCTCTAAAACCACAGAAGGGGAATAGGGATGAATCAGGTACAACAAACCTCCTTCTACTGTAGTGTATCTGCAACTGACACTTAGAGGTTTCTCATTAAGTCCATCATTCTTTTATTTTCCTTCAAAAGGGAAACATTTAGAAAGATTTCAGAATTTTAATACTAGTCTTTCAGTCATCTATGAGGTCATTTTTCCGAGTTAATGGAATAAGAAGGAGGAATGCCCCAAGTACTGCAGAAGAAGAATGGATACTGGCACTGTTTCCAGCCCATCTGGGGGCAGAAACTGTCAAACACCTAGATAACATTCTGAAATATTTTCCAATTGTAATCCAATTGAACCCTTGAACTACTTCTCAGAGTCACTTGCCTGTATCATAGGCGTACCAGGAAATCCATAGCTACATCTAGCTGTTTCTTTATACATAGACTGGGAGAAACTTCTCAGACGTAAATGTTTTAATTTTAGAAAGATCTTGTACTCTTCTGTCACTATTTTTCTTCTTTTGCTCAGACTTATTTGAGGTACAAACTCATCAGTTGAAGTACATTTGTTCAAGAGGCTTGACAGTGGAAACTACTGTTTCATAGCTTCAATTTTCCAGCAGCTTTGCCTTTTCTTGAGCACATGCATATTGGAAAAGAAATCGCCTGAGTTACCAACTGCTCAGTAAAGGACAAAGAACATTTCTGTATCTATCAGAGAACTATACAAAAAAGTGAAGAGGAGAAACAGGTTTTTTATTATTTATTATTTATAACCAGAGCAGCAAAAGGAGAAGGCAGCTTTGGGGGTGGCAGGAAAAGAAATGATCTGATTTGTGATGGCCACACAACCTACTTAGAAAAAAATGTATACTGCATTTCATGTTAAATAAAAGCCTGTTTCTGCCTGATACCTGGGAGAACTTGTCCATGAGCACTTCATTATTAAATAGTGTTCCTATGGTACAGCCAAGTTTAGAAAGGTTTTACTTAACATGCCATTACAGCAATTAGCCCTAGGGAAAGTTCACCTTGCATACTCAGCTTTAAAATATGCCTTAAATTTATATTTATCAACCGAGTTCCATCCTCCCCTCCCTGCAGTTATAAACTTTCCCTTTCCTCCTCATCTCATAGCTGCCACAAAGCTTCCAACCCAATCCCTTTTATCAGCATCCAGTCTGTCAGAACCCCAACCCACCTTCCTTCACAGTGCACCAGTGCAGTACCAGCCCTCAGGAAGATTGGCCTGTCAGGTCCCACGTTTCAACGTGTCACATCACCACCGCAGGAGTAAGTTGGTGATTCTGTCATGGTTTTATGATTGTTGGTTATTGGTATTCCACATCATAACATCATGTAGTGCACTGGGAGTTAAAGTTTTTAACTATTTTTTGGGGTCCCCTGTTTCCCTTTTCCAGAGGCGCAGATTTGCGAAACCCCTCTGCCCCACTAGTCACGGAACTGGGATGAACCAGCCCGTAAACTGTTGATTCTTCTGCAAGACAAGGTGTTTAAGAGACAGAAAGGAGGTTGAGGATGTTGTAATTCAGTTTCTAGCTCTGCTGTGTCTTGAAGGAAGTCATTTAGTCATTACTGTATCTCAGCTCTACAAGTCTGCATGAGGATTTTATTAGGATATTATTAGCTTTTCTCCATCTTGTTTATTCGGTTCATAGTAGATGAGCTATCACTTGCAATGTTTATTTACAGGATTTAATACACCTAGGGTCCAGCCTATCCTTAGGTGTCCAGAAACAACTGTTCCTCACAAAGCTCTCTGATCTCCGTGGCTTTGATCAGGTCCTTGTGACAAAGTAGGATTGACACACAGTGCAGCAGAGGAAATGAGCTCTAGTGACTGAAAAATTCTGGTTTTAAGTTTGCCAGGTTATCTATCTTCTTAAAATACGCAAATAAATGATTTAACATTCTTCAGGTTTTGACTGGGTGTCAGAAGAATAAGGAAAGAAACATTCCGTGTTCACACAAATGCTGGTGTGGCACTGCTGTTGTGCACTGATCACGAGCAAAGTGCTGGAGAAGATGTACCTCAAGATGCTCACCTCCTGAATCCAAAAAATAGTTTCTATTGTCCATACCATTGCTTTTCTTTTCCTACTGTCCATTGCAGGAACCAGAAATATGGTTGTGTGAGCATTTCTAAAGCTACTGTTTTTTAACTCTGCAACTGAAATTAGGTCCTTTTAACAGTACTTTTTTTGTATGCATTTTATAGTCAGAATGAATTGTGAGTGTTGTAAAACAAAAATATTTCAGAGCCTCTGCTTGCTGTACATATGAACAGTGAGAGGCTTGAGGAATGCCATTGCCTGAGCTTTTAAGGGTAATATTGCTTTGAATTTTGCAATACACATGAAAAATTAACCTTTTTTTCTGTGTGCATACTTCTTTTGCACACCATGCTGAACATACATTCGTTATACTCTAGTTCAGTACAAATCACGGAGAAGTCACTCTACAGTGATATCAGTGAAACCTTTCTCTCAGGTAGCAACAGGATTGGCCAAATTCTGAGTTGCTGGAGGCAGAAAAAAAACATATATATAGTTTTATTTTCTACCACTTGCACTATCTAGCATAAAACCGAAGCCAACTGCAATAATACTTCCAGCAAATGACTCAATCTACAAAACCATCATTCACTGACAGTTTCAACCATTGGATTTTTTTTTAATTTGTTGGTTAACCAGCATTTTGATCCACCTGCCATAATGGTCTCCATAAATTAAAATCTGAATATTTTCTAATCCATTTTCCCAGCATTATTTCATTAGCATTATATCTCAGCTGTTCAGGATGAATGGCTGCAGCTAGAAAAAGAAAGAGGAATTTCAAGGGCTTCAGGAACACTACCCAACATACAGCTGCAGTTTAAGATTAACTGATATCAGCTTGACCTCCTGTCTGCCTAAAGGAAAATGATCAGATAGCATTTGGTAAAGTTTATGAGATGTCGTTTCTACTGTGCTGTATGCAGGTCTTTAATTTCTTGTAATTTATGTTGAGAAGGCTCCCTTAGGCACACTGCTTTGTCCCAAAAGCAATAGAGAGTCAAACTTCAAGCCTACGATCTCTTTTTCTAACATACTTTTTGGAATGAAAGGAATGTGAGAGTACAGTGCAAGTGTGGTGAATAGACTTCATGGGGCACAGACTTAATGGGGCAGTCATGAATAAAACTGAAATGGGTTATGTAAGAGAAAAGATATGCAGCTGCTCAAAACTACTTCCCCAGTTGCACAGAGTTTAGTAGAACACAATTTCATTTTATCGTTTTTAATTGTATTAATCTCTATTTAAGAAAAATTCTGATGTGCAATGTAGTTTGGAAGAAACAGAAATTCTACTCCCTGATCATAAAACTTAAGGGTCTATGTCACATTTGAAACTTGCTTTAACAAATTTAATGAGAAATACAAAGTTATGCTAGAAAAATAAATGAACACAAGCTTTTGAACTCAAACTAGCTTTGATCAAGAGCAAACTTCTATGAAATTTTAGGAAACCACTCATATATTTTAGTGGTAAGAACTGTCTGGTTATAAAGAAAAATAATCACATCTGCTTTTCCCTCACTGAAGTCTTGAAAATAATAGGGAATTGGCATAGTGGCTGTGAGCATTTCATAGTTCCTAAAGAAGGAAGTATTTCTCACTGATTTCTAGTGACCCCCTGTGGTAAGCCAAACTCAATTGCTGAAGGCTACGGCATCTGGGTGATGTCCATCATAGCCTGGAAAAGTCTTAGGAGTTGAGTCTGACCATCTCAATGAGTGTGACACCTTAGGTTCTCCAGAGTCCAGGAGATGATCAGAGTTCAAAAGGTGCTCTTGTGAGAAGATACCAGACTGAGCCCTACTTACTATAAAAGGATATAATTCTATCAGACATGCTGTAGTGACAGCCTAATGCACAGGCAGAAATTAAAAACATTTACTCCAGTCACACACACACACACAAATTATAGGATGAAATTAGAGTCTAATCTATCTACTTTTTATTTTGCATTAATGTGGAATATAATTGTCCATATAAAGGTCTTTCCAAGCTAATTTCAGCAGTGAGGTGAACATTAATTCAAAGGAGGGAGCTGCCAGCATGCTGGGTAATTTAGCTTAGAATTCAGCCTGAAAGAGAGAAGACAAGCTATATGAATGTCTTCAGGTAGTTCAACTTCTAGATTTTCTAAAATACACATTAAGTCCATCTGTAAGACCAGAAGTTTAAAGAAAGTTCTACTGGAAAAAGGATTTATTAGAATTTATGCTCACTCTCAAGTACTTACAAATGCTTCATAAATTGCATATTCACTACACAAACATTCCTTCAATTGGGAACAAGCCAAGATTCTCACTAGTTCCATTTGTCCTAGAAATAAAGCCACTTGCAGAAGAAAAATGAGCTAATGGAA